GATTGGTCTTGAACTTCTGATCTCAAATGATCTGCCTGCCTCAGCCTCCCAAAGTGTTGGGATAACAGGCATGAGCCACTGCACCTGACCTAAGCTGACGCTTCTCAAAAGAAGACATTTATGTGGCCAATAAACATAAGAATAAAAGCTCAACATCACTGATCATCAGAGAAATGCAAATCAAAACCACAATGAAATACCATCTCACGCCAGTGAGAATGGCGATTTTTAAAAAGTCAGGAAACAATAGATGCTGATGAGGCTGTGGAGAATTAGGAATGCTTTTACACTGTTGATGGGAGTGTAAATTCGTTCAGCCGTTGTAGAAGACAGTATGGCAATTCCTCAAGGATCTAGAACCAGAAATACCATTTGACCCAGCAATCCCATTACTGGGTATATACCCAAAGGAATATAAATCATTCTACTATAAAGACACATGCACTGGTATGTTTATTGCAGCACTATTTACAATAGCAAAGACATGGAACCAACCCAAATGCCCATCAATGATAGACTGGAAAAAGAAAATGTGGTACATATACACCATGGAATACTATGCAGCCATAAAAAGAGATGAGATCATGTCCTTTGCAGGCATATGGAGGAAGCAGGAGGCCATAATCCTCAGCACACTAGCACAAGAACCGAAAACCAAACATTGCATGTTCTGACTCATAAGTGGGAGCTGAACAATGAGAACATATGGATACAGAGAGGGGAACAACACAAACCAGAGCCTGTTGAGGGTGGGGAGGAGGGGAGGAAAATTACAGGATGGGTCAATAGGTTCAGCAAACCACCATGGCATTTGTATATCTATGTAACAAATCTGCACGTTCTGCACATGTGTCCTGTTTTCCTTTTTTTTTTTTTTTTTTAGAAGAAGTAAAGAAAAAAAAGTAGATAATAATAAGAGTAATTTAGAGAAGACTTTTGTCAACTCCAAATTTTTATTTCTGGTTGATTCCCAGTTGTCACCCAACGTTACTTTAATGAGACTATTAAGCTAATGAAATGTTGGACTAAAAGAAAAAAAAATTAGCTAAATATACACATCACTTGATGACATACCATGCACTATTCTAAGTGTTTTACAGAATTAATTCACCTAATAGTCACAACAATCTTATAAGATTATTCTCCCATTTTTTTTAGATGAGAAAACTGAGGACCGGAGGCTTTATAGTCACAAAACTATTAAATGGCAGACATAGAATACTAATCCAGGCAGTCTGGCTCTAGAGTCCCTGATCTTAGCCACTATACCACACAGCTTCTCCAAGGAAAAAAGAAAATGATTAATTTTATTTTTTGAACCTGATTAAAAATGCCTGTAAACATTTTTTTTTTCAATTCTGAACTCTACATAAAAATGAAACTCACAAATAATGGAAATTAAGTAGGAAAGTCCCAATGAGGCAAGATAAACAGCTTTTGACTTCATCTTTATAGTAGAGGAAATTTTGGTAGTAGGACAGAGGAAGCAACAAGAAATTAAAGAACTTCTCTGTGATTGGAAAGTATATTCCAGGCTGCAATCACCACAGGGTTAATCTGTTCATGCTTTAATTCAAGAAGTCCTGTAACCGCAGGATGCATTCCTAAACATTTATTTAATATGTGGCAGGCATTTTTTTGTAATAATACATAGGCACTTGGCAGAAGACAGCTCTATCTCTAGCATTCCTCCATGTGCACATTTCAATAGGAACAAATAGCTGAAGCCATAGAAATATGCTTTATAAAGATACTGTGCTACAAAGCCTGAACTTCAAGGAATGACAGACAATTGCAGAGCACCATCTGTCCCAGTGTGTCTTTTTTGACCCAAAGATATGGCCAGTTTGTGGTAGAGCAAAAAATCTGCGTGGCATGTGGAATACGGTGTTTAAAAGCTGATCCATGGACCATACTGGGCTATCATAATAAAAGGAAAAAATGACATAGGCCAGACCAAAATGGAAACATAGCTCTAACCACTGTATTCTCGAAAGAGCCAGAATACAGGTGTTCTTACCTTACTGAACCAGACTAAGATTGCTTTTTAAAAAAATCACAATAACCAGTAATCAATCAAAGAGTTCTAACTGCCTTTATTCTGGATTATATATGGTGCTAGGCGATACCCAGACATTAACTGCAGTGTTCCTGCCAGCCTAAAGGTAGAATCCTTGGTTGTCCTCAACTGAACTAGAGTTTAGCGCAGCCTCAGACAAATGGTCCAGGACAACAGGCCAGGCAATGGACAGAGACACTTCCACTTGCAGTCTAGTTCTTGCCAGTATGATCTGCCCAAGAAGGGAAGGTGTTGACATTTTTATTGCTTCTATCAGGACAGAAATTGTATGCCACACACTCAGGGGCAAGTTTCTCTAATTTTTTGGAGAAACACAAAAAGTAAGCAAGCATATTTTATAATAAAGGAGGACTTTAAACAGGTAGTTTGTAAAGAATATCACTTTTTTCCAGCCTTATTATAGATGCAGCCTTACTCCTAGGAACAGGGACACGGATCTCACATTGCTTTGAAGTAGGAGGAAAATCTTCAAAGATTACCTTTAAACACTTTGAAAATGTGTTACTGTAAAGAACTCAGCAATTAAGTAAATCTCAGGAAATCCCCAAGATAGAAGGTAATTAATGTGGTTTTAAGAAATGGAGCCATCAGCTCTGCCTGGAAGAACAAATTTCACCAAATGTTCCTTCTCTCAACCTATAGCCCCAATTTAATGCAACTGATGCTGCAATCCATTGTATCAACTGCTATATAAGCTATCTGACCAGCACTTCATTCAAGTCTGTCTTTCTTTCTTTCTTTTTCCCTTTCTTTCTTCTTTTTCCCTTTCTTTCTTCTTTCTTTCTTTCTTTCTTTCTTTCTTTCTTTCTTTCTTTCTTTCTTTCTTTCTCTTTCTTTCTTTCTTTCTCTTTCTTTCTTTCTTTCTTTCTTTCTTTTCTTCTCTCTCTCTCTCTCTCTCTCTCTTTCTTTCTTTTTGAGTGCAGTGGTATGATCTTGGCTCACTGAAGCCTCACTTCCTGCCTGGGTTCAAGCTATTCTCCTGCCTTGGCCTCCCAAGTAGCTAGGATTACAGGCACCCCCCACCACACCCAGCTAATTTTTTATTTTTATTAGAGACAGGGTTTCACCATGTTGGCCAGTCTGGTCTTAAACTCTTGAACTCAGGTGATCCAGCTGTCTTAGCCTCCCAAAGTGCTGGGATTACAGGTGTGAGCCATGGCTTCTGACTGCATTTCGTTTTCTGAATAATTTCATTCATTATATTTTGGGCTAAATATATTGCAAAATATATTGTACTTATTTAACTTTAAAAACTCAAATATTTTAAATAATCATGTTAAAACATACTTCTTATTTAATTACATGGAGGTTGCTTGGTGAAAATAATAAAGGAAAAATAGCACTAACATTTTTCGAGCTTTAAATATGTACACTTACTATGCTAGGCACTTTACCATATTACTGCATTTGCAGTCTTCATAGTGGCCCATCATTTAGGTACAATTATTATCTCAATTGTACAAGTGAGGAAACTAAAGATGAGAGAAGAGACTAAATCAAGACCATATAGTAAATGGCGGAGCAAGTAAATTAACCCAGTTCTAACATCCAAGCTCACTTTTGCAAACACCAGGTTGCACATTAATAAATGTCATACCCCACCCTCAATGCAGTTTAGTCCTGAAACTCATTGGTCTTAATTTCACAGAGGGTAGTTTATGTATCCTTCAAATGGGGATGAATTCTATTTAATAATTTGACTCCAGTTGTAGCTATGTGACTACAGGCATCTGATGGAAGGTGAAAAAATCAGCTAACCATCTAAGCACCTAGTCAACTTAATACTAGATACTTGCAAACATAAAAATGCTTGGGTAGCTAAGAATTTTTTTACTTTGCACTTGGTTGTGTGGCATCCTGGCATCATAGAGACAAATTCCGAACTATACAGTTTAAAATTACAGATGGACTTTCCATAGAACCTCAGTGACCAGATTTTCTAATTTAAAATTGCAATACACAAACTGACAAATGTGTGCTTGTGAGTATAATAAGACAGAATATTTAAAACCTGAAAAATTGCTGGGTGCAGTGGCTTACGCCTGTGATCCCAGCACTTTGGGAGCCTGAGAGAGGTGGATCACTTGGGGTCAGGAGTTCGAGACCAGCCTGCCCAACATGGTGAAACCCTGTCTCTACTAAAAACAAAAATTAGCTGGGCATGGTGGCAGGTGCCTGTAATCCCAGCTACTCCAGAGGCTGAGGCAGGAGAATAGCTTGAACCCTGAAGGTGGAGGTTGCAGAGAGTCGAGATTACGCCACTGCACTCCAGCCTGGGTGACGGGAGCAAAACTCTGTTTCAAAAAAATAAAATATAAATAAACCCTGAAAAATCAGAAGCTTTCGATGAGCTACTCATAGGGTTTCCCTCTTGGCGATATATGGGTTCCTATGTTAATATAAGGTAGCAAGTGACTTTTCTCAATCGGTATTCTCAAGGCATACACCCCACTGAAGCAAGTATAGAGATTTTATTTAGAGACAAAATTATTTGAGAGTAACTCCAACATCTGTCCTACCCAACTGAGCACTGCAACATTCTACTGCACTCAGTTTAGAAAGAAAGCTATCTATTCATCATCAGTAGGACAGCCAGAGCATTTTTGCAAGAAGTAGTGATAGATTTGTACTTAACTATTTATAGCATCTACTCAGTTCTCTTTTCTTACCATCAACCTGTTTTTTTAAGAAAGCTACCCAAGCTATGGATGCAATGCCTATGTTTTAGGCAGGTGAATACTATGTTCTAACTTGGTTTATGCTCTACGACGCCTTCGGTAAGCAAATGTAACTGCTTGGTTTTATCTACGATTACCCACTTAGCACAAACATTACACTGGACTAAGTTCAGCAAGGAAAAATGTTGCCTCCAAGGCTCCCTGAGAAATAAAACCAGAAATAATCTAAGCAGGTGCCTTACCATGGATTCTCCAGATGTCCAGATATGGGATTAGGAAGAAGACCCAAAATAATTTCCCAATTCCGAGCATGGCAGGCAATGTCTTCATTTCCGGCACATAGCAGGGATGGAAAAACTGCTCAAGTAGAAGTCTTCTCTTCGTCCTCTGAGTTCTGCAGAGTTGGGTCAGTTTACCTACCCCAGTGGCATCTGTGAAATTAAAAAAAAAAAAAAAAGAGAGAGAGAGAGAGAAAAAGGTGGTAAGAGAGAAATGTAGGAAGAGCCTGGATGATTTTGTGAAACAAAGTGAACAGAAAGACAATGTGGTACTCTGTTCTGTGGTTTTTGCTTCTTGTTAGGTTGGCTGTTCACTTTCAAACACTGATCTGCAAAGCACCTCAGTCCTTAACTTCTCCTTCCGCTCTACTACCTTTTTGCCCCAGCTTGAGGTTTTTCCTGCGCTCAAAGTGAAATGAGCAATTAAACTTTAAAGAAATTTACATTGTTGCAGTCTTTGAGATTTTAATCAAATTAAGTCAGGAAATTTATGTTAAAACTATCAATAGTAACTATATACTTTCCCCTTTGTGATAGCCTGTGATTATGAAACTTCTTTTATGTAAAAGATTTTAGGTTTCTTTTTTTTCCTGTACTTGTCACGGTAAGATGAGGATGCCTATTGTCATTAAACCAGTGAAGACTTATCTGAGGTTATGGAGAAAATGAGTGACAGGAAGCACTTCCTTAACAGAAAAAGGAAGATCAGTCGTCTTTAATGTTTGGATACATATCAATGGAACAAGATCATCATTAATATTGGCTACATGTTCTCTCTAGAAAATAAAGTTCTAATCTAAAGGAGATCTTGAATATCAATTAAAGGAAATTTCCATTTTAAACATTCATCATACAGTTGTTGTCTTAATGAAGTAGAATAGAAACCGTAAAGGAAGAAATGGAAAAGTTCAAGATCAGATGGCACAGGCCACCATAAGGCTGTTTTCTCCACAACTACTTGTAATAACTAGCTTAGCTTATAGGAGCTAATCAAATTCACCTGCTGTTTGAGACTCCAAATGAGAGATCTAGATTTGTGGCATTTGCGGTCATTGACAGAAATCGATTATGTAAGTTTTTCCTCAGATACTGATGATTTTTTTCCAAGGCCAAACTTCAATGGTTTTAAGTACGTAAAATTAAAAAACAGTTATCACATATTTATTGATTCAAATAGACAATGTGCTATGGTTGGAGATAAATGATGAATGAGTTGCTACTACTGCTGATTTTAAAGAACGCATTCAGCCAGTATTACTATTTCCTCACATTCACCTTTAGTGTTGGTCCTATAATATAGTATAATACAGAGAGGCTACACATAGCCTTTTAGAATTTTCATTACCAATCAGATAAACATCCTGGGAAATATTTGTGCAGTATTTACACAGCTCTTTCATTTTCCTGTGTTCACAGTAGAGTAAAAGCTTCCTGTGGCAGCTGAAGCAAGGCTTACTGTCCCTTTAAAATGGTGCACAGGTCAAAAGCCATAGCCCATAAGTTCAGGATATTGTCCCAAACTGGAGAGAGGTCGTGTTAACTTTATCTCAGCTTTAAACTGTTATGTCATTATTTTAAATATTTTTTTCATATTAAAAAGTCCATACTAATTAGACAAAATTTGGAAAAACCCTCATGTAGCATCTAATGTATTTAAAATATACATATATATATATATCTTCTTGCTTTTATTAGCATGCCTACCTCTTTATCTCTCCACAGCTAGAGTCCTGAGAGTCCCACTGTAGATAAAACTCTGCGTCAGATTCTCACTCCCATCTTTGTTCTGGAAAAAAAAAAATGGAAAGAAGCTAGACTCAGAAATTTGTTATTCCAGTAACAACTCAGTATTGCCTTAAGCTTATAACTTTTGTAATCCCATCATAATTATGTATCGTTTAAACCAAAAATTATAATTTTCATTTACATTTGCAAATTTAAAGAATTTACTACATTCTCAAAAGCGATTGCATTACATATTGAAACAATTTTAAAAACATGAACCTATAATTAGTTTTATGTTGAAAACAAAAAGAGAGAATTTGGTTTCTTCAAATTCTTTTTACAAACATCTCAGGAACTACTTGGAGGGCAAATTTTTTAGTTCACTTACAGACTCAGTTGCTTTCAAGAATCATGAAGCAGCTATACTTCCTGCAGTGTTTTTCCCCTAGGTGATCAGAGAACCAGCAATCACAAAACATGACACAGGGCCCTGGAAAATTCTTTCCCCTGATGTTAGACAATCCCAGAGAGATGAATCTTGGTTCTGATCTTTTTAACTTCCCCCCAAAATATTCCATAGCTTTACTGTAAATGTAGTCCAGCATTTAAAAACTTTGACATTTTTCTATTTGGTGTAATTTTTTTTACTAATGGTATTGTTAGAAATGGTTTCTATACATGACTGTACTTTATAATCAGCCTGAGCACTTTTAATAAAATGGGTGGAATTTTTGAATCCTACCCATTTCCATTGAATCAGAATCTCACAGGGTGAAGTCCAGATGTCACTATTTTTAAAAAGCTCCAAAGGTGATTTTGATATATTAGTTTGAAGGAATATTTAGAAACCAGTTATGAGTTGGCAGGGGACATAAGTTTTGAATCACATAAAACATGGTATCAAATCTTTGTCACTTACTAGTTATTGGACGTTTAATAGATTTTCTATGTTCCTAGAGTCTGTAGTAGACACAGAGATGGAGATGCACCTCTCAGATCCCCCTTCAACATTGTATTTGCTCTTAGCTGGGGGGAATGCAATAGGTAGAGTACCTCCAATGTAAACTTCTCCCAGTTCTGCTCAGCTGAGACACACCTTGACCAGCGTCATGCTTTCCCATTACAGCTTGCATCCAATGATGGAGCAAGGAAAGTATATAGATTGCTGGCCATTTTGACCTGACATGGGAAGCTGATGGGCAATACTTGATCCAGAGTTCCCAACTGCATTTGCTAAGGGTATATTAGGCCTATGGCCCAGTTTAATTTCTTCCTCTGCTCTCTTCCTTTCACAGTTGTTGATCCCTAATCTATTTTTGCTTCCAGAGAACCAAATCTGCTCCACATTTCAATTTCCAGTTATGTAAAACATAGAAACAATACCTATCTGCTTTGTTGGTTAACTGAGGTGAAATATGCAAAGTAATCAGTAAATTGCAACTATAATCATTCTGGAAACAAGAAGCCCTGTATTAATAAACCCAAATGTAATGATGGTGGAACAAGTTGAAAATATCTACTTGCTAATGGGAGTCATTGTTGCACAGAGATCAAGTCTCTAAAGTAAATGTCATAATAAAGCTTTGATCAGCAGAGGAATGGTGTAGTTTAAAGGTGGCCCAAATTACAAAAACATTTACAAGGATGGATCATCCATGCAGAAGGGCCTTATGTCTCTATGTAGCGTCTCACGCTTCCATGTCTTATGAACTAAAAATCAAGTTATATGCACCCAACATTCCCATGACAGTGTTTAAAAAAATTTCATAGGCAATTTTTGATTGTTGAGGGAAGTGTTCTTTGCAAAATAATATAACATAATAAAGTGAGGAGGCCTTGCTTTTAGAACAATTGGTCTCCCCAAATGAAGAAAGAATATAGTATTCATAGTTCAAATTCTTATTTAACAGTAATCAATTCTAATTGAATAATATTTAGTCCATTTTGACAAAGACTGCTATGGTTTGAGCGTGGGCGTCTCCTTGGAATTCCTGTGTCAGAACTTAACCCCTAAGGTAATGGCATTACGAGACAGGGGCTTTTGGAATGTGATTAGGTCATGGGGGTCTGCCCTCATGAATGTAATTAATGCCCTTATGAAACAGGCTTCAGTCTGGGTGCTTTGGCTTACATCGTAATCCCAAACTTTGTGAGCCCAAGTCAGGAAGATCGCTTGAGGCCAGAAGTTCAAAACTAGCCTGGGCAATATAGTAAAACCCCTTTATCTACAAGAAACTTCAAAACTTAGCTGGATATGGTGGTATGTGCCTGTAGTCCCAGTTACTTGGTACACCAAGGCAGAAGGATCATTTGAGCCCATGAGTTCAAGGCTTCAGCGAGTTATGATCACCACTGCACTCCAGCCTGGGCAACAGAGTAAGATCCTGTCTCTAAAAAAGGCTTCGGAGAGTTGCCTGCACTTCTATCTCTTCTACCATGTGAGGACACAGCATTTATCCCTTTTTGTCCTCTTTCTACCTTGCTGTCAGGAGGCAGTAAGAAGGCACCATTCGAGAGGCAGACGGCAACCCTCACCAGACACCATATCTGTTGGAACCTCGATCTTGGGCCTCCCAGTCTCCAGAACTGTGAGAAATATACTTCTGTTCTTCATAAATTACCCAGTTTTTATAGTGAGCTATGATCATGCCACTGCACTCTAGTCTGGGGGACAGAGAAAGACCCTGTCTTTAAAAACAAAGGAACAAACAAAAATTACTGTTTTTAAGGTATCTTGTCATACCAACACACATGGAAGAAGACCGACATGTAAGTTTCTGCAAAGATTTTTTTCTAGGTCATGGTGCATCAATAGTCTGTTAGAAAGCTACTTTAAGCTAAGGGGGAAAATGTCAATATGACTAATTTTCAGTTTTTAGAGAAATAACACATACACCCACACACACACACGTTCCTATTCAGAAAAGGGAATACAAGAACCATAGGTAGCCTGGTCAATAGCCAGGGTGCCCTGCTGCAGCAGTAGGTGATGTTTTTTAATTAGCCCATGGAATAGCCTCAGCCTCTGCTCTCTGAAAAGTCTTTCTAGTTTTTAAAAATAAAGCTCAAGGGGAAGCAGACTCTGAGGCAGAGCCTAGTATGCAGGAAGTTTATTAGGGTGTGCACTGGGGATCATTAAGTGTGAAGGCAGAAAAGAGAACCAAATTCAGCAGAGGGCAAAGGGAGACATCAGGGTGTGATACAGTCTCAGCAAAGGCCTCAGCAAATCAGAAGGAAGTCTGAAGCTTTGACCCTTTATAGAAGACTGACAGCTGAGGGCTCTTAGCCAGGAACACTCCCAGCAGCTCGAGGAAACAAATTCTTCAGTCCTGGAGAGGATCTGAATGCACTACACTAGCTCTCTTTCCTTGATGACCACAGCTGAGATGGGCATTAGTGAAGAAGGCTTTGGGGGATGCACAGCTTCATCACTCTACTTCCTGTTTGTGCAAGTTAGGGTCCAGGTAGAGTTTTGGTGTTTAACATGGTCTATTATAAAATAGTCTTAGAGTTCTCTCAAACATCTCGTAGTATTTCTGTCTATTGTCATTCAGTAAGTTTCGTGCACAAATAACTTCAGTTAAAGAACTTGTGTAGTCATGGACTTTTCAGGCCAAAGAGACTTACTACTAGCCATTATGTTCTGCCCAGTCTCCAGTTCCCATTACAATGATAGCTACCCTGAGACTGTTTAAAACAGGACATGGTAGAAAGGCAATTCTTAATCTTATCTTTATG